AAATTCACTTCTAATAAATGTCAATTCTCCCCTATAGTCACACTAAGAGAAGATCTCAAAGAGATCTGTTCTCATAAGTGGAAATATCACCTTGAAGCGAAATAATTTGGAGTGATAAATTGTATGTATTTTCGTAAAAAAATTCAGGGATAAAAAGCAGTAAACCCCAAAAAAAGAGAAAACGAGTTCATTCCTGTTTTGTAAAACTACGAGATTATAATCAAAGTGCCACGAATACAAATGATAGCTAAGGAGAGGAGAGGAGGGGGGTAAAGGAAAGGGTACAAACTAATGATATAACCGTTTTAATTTCATCACACGAGCCACTAGAGACTACCATAGCCCTCGGACATAGCATGGAGCATAGAGGCTTGGATATCTTCTCTCATAGTACTATACAATCCCATCAAATTTAGGTTGTATTTCTTCGCCACTTCAAGCTGAGCTTTTAAGCCCTCCCTCAGCGCAAATAGGTGCTGTCTATCAGAGACGATAGTACTTTCATCCAAAGCTCTTTGGAAACTTTCCAGAGCCTTTTCATGCTGTCCTCTTTCCATGGCCAACTGTCCACGGAGTTCCCAGGCCATTTCACATCGCGGATCAACCTCAAGACCTTTTTCGATAAATCCTTCAGCTGCTTCTGCATCCTGTTTAGATCGAAGAATGAGAATACCTCTTTGAGCGTAAGGCATTCCAGAAGTGGGTGTTAGTTCAATGAGTTTAGCAAACAACTCATCGGCACTTTCGAATTCTCCCCTCTCAGTAAGAACTTGGGCAAAGATGGAAATGGTCTCAATGCAGGTTGGGTATTTTTTCCGCAGCAGTTTGAAATCATTAACGACCTTATCGCACTCAGAATTTCTGCCCTCCGAGAATGCCTTACGGTAGTGCATATAGAGGCGCTGGGCCTGTAACAAACAAACATAACACAATTGGAAAGGGACTAAGGAAGTAAGCGGCAAAGACGATAAAATTTGAACCCTTACGTGAGCAACGCAGCAATCTGGTTTAAGTCGAATAGCTTCAGAAAAGTCCTTTTCTGCAGCATCTAAATTTCCTGTAAGGAGATTAGTTTGTCCACGATGAAGGTAGACATCGGCACAGAGAGGGTCTAGAGTTTGTGCTTCTTGGAAGGTGTACATACAACCGGAAATGTCCTGTGGAATAAAAAAAACGAAAGATAAAAACCCACCTACTGATAAGAAACAAGTAGACAAGCTGATAAAACGAACATTATCAAGAGTCATGAAAAGAGCAGCAGCCTTGATGAGTGCATTGACACGAATTGAGGGGTGAGCAAAGCACGTTTCACCGATGGTGAGGAACCGGCTCTTGGCTTCTTCTGCATCCCCAGAAAGAGCCTTGAATGTGGTGTCAAGAAGGAGGGCTCTTGACCTGGCAGATTCGGGCTTCTCACGATCACCGAGAGGAGATTTTTCAAAGAGATAGAGGTCAACGTTCATTGACTAAGGCAAAGGAAATGGACAACACGATTACCGAAAGCAAACCCCTTTAAAAATAATCTCAGAGAGAAGAAAACACGTAGGCGACTATTACTCGATAACCGGTTTATACATGAAGACTGCTTTCATTACTAACTTTAATGAATATTAGTGTTCCCTTTAAGTAATTTTCTTCTACTTGTTTCACATCTCTTACTATTTTCCATTCACGGGGTGTGCGATAAACTTACCTCCACGTGGTGCACCCTGCGCAACGTATATTCATACGGCACAAAAGTCTATTAACTGGAAGTTGACTTCTCACTTCAAACTGCCTTCACCTCACTCTATGCCATATTCGAATATTTCCACAGTACACACCTCACCTTTTTTTCTACGTTTGTGTTTGTCTCTTACATCTTTGAAACACTCTTCTCTTCCTTCCCCCCTCTCGACTTTTTGCCACTTTGATGCTCCTCTTCCTTTCTGTGAAGCCCGAAGTCAACTAAAGGGCTAATGATACCTACCATAACGCCTGCCTTTTTGAAATAAATAAATAAATAAATGCCTCAACTCTGCACATGGTATCATTACTATTAACTTTCAAAGTAATAAAACATTAAATACTCAACACATAAAATTGCGCTCAATGTGATAATAACTTTATGATTCGACTTTGGTACACTTTACGTCCCTTAAATTAACAAGACAAGAAAATTGCGTTTGCATATAATGTCGTTAAAGTGTTGTAAATATCACTAATTGAAACATAAATATTTTGCGCTTGACGTATGTTAATGAGCAAGATAACATAAAGAATATTGAATAACATTGAATCAATTTTATTTCACTTGACACTAAGTTAATTTGCCATCGGCCCATCCAAGATCACAAATCACAGCAGGGAATTGAAAATAAGAATCTGCTTTGTTTCAGCACCTATTCAGCTCCCAAAGGCAACTAGATAATATACTGTGGAAGAGCAAACAACTTACCTGAACCAACTGCAGCAAATAGTCCGCCAATTCCATATTTGAGAGTCCTGCCTGCAGACCCTGTACGGCAATATCTCTCACTAGAGGGTCCGCCACTCCGGTGGTTCGACCTCCAGCCATCACATATCCGCCACCAGACCCTCCCGCAACCCCTTCACTAACTCCGAAGGAACTTTCAATAGCTGTGACAGATCCGGCCAATCCAGCAACTCCCAAAAGTTGGAGACAGGTTTCAACAGGAAGGGGGCGTGGCCAAGAGGCAAGCAGACGATAGAATTCCTCTACCAGCTCCAATCTTTCCCAAGAGACTGCTTGAACAAGCCAAGGCAGGGATTCAGCGGGGAAGAGGGTGCGACAGCAGGTATCGCGAGTTCGCCAAAGCAGGGCTTTGTCCTGTTCCGAGAGTTCGTAGAAAGGATCACGGTGAATGAGATCTTGAAGATTGTGGAGATCCACGTCGGAGGCCGCTTGAGTTGGGGTTAAGGAGGAATTGGGGGCTTGGGGAGCATTGCCATGCACGACCGATGTGAAAATGGAGATGGGAAAACGGATACGCGATTTCTGACTACCGGGATGACAGAAATCCAGCTAGAAGATATGCGGTTACATTTGTGTTTTAGATTACACCAAAAGCATACTAAACTTCGTGGAGTAGTCAATTCCGCTTTCTCAGGCTAAGAAGAATAAGTTGACAGGCACTCATTCAAGAATAATGAAATATACATTTGTTAATTGTATACGAATATTTGCCTTATATTCTCACATTTTATAGATAATTTACAACTGCCGAAATCCCATTCTTAGTTTTTGTAAGATCAAGCAACAACGTACTTATTTCATGCAAAAATCTCCAACCTTATAAATGGCAAAACCTTTTAGAATAAATAAATAAACAAATAAATTTATCTCCGAAAGACATAGTCATCTATTCAATTTAACTTCGAGCAAAATTTGAAAGAGTGAACTTGATGCCTTTTCCAGCTTAAAGTGAACAAGATGCAGCACCTATCACCCATAAGTGATGAAATACCTGAGTAATGAATTGTGAACTGCATAAATATACACAACTACAGAACTTCGAAAGTTAAACAGAACTGCAGCTAGGGGGCAATTATCTTCAATACTTGAACATACTACTGAAAATTTTAGAGTAGCAAGTAACAATCGAGAAAGAAAGGGGCAAAAAGAAATATCAAAAAATGGAAACCACGACTACTGAAGTACCTCCAATTTCAAGAGAACGAAACAAAAATCTGAAATACATAAATCAGTTAGACTAACCAATGAGATTTGCAATACGCATGTTTCAACCATTTATTAACACACAGTTACCAGGTTCAACCAACGATTTTATCCTAAAAACGGCATTGACTTCAGCCTAAATGTTTTCAGTTTATATACATCCTGCATACCCGTCGAATAAGATGCTTCAATTAGCTATTTTTCAATAACGTGCTACCGCAGGGAGAGATCATGCAAGTCTAACTCAATTTAGAGATGTAAGAGCAGGTGATAATAGCTATTGTATCTGGCCATCTCCTAACTTCCCCTACTAAGCAAAAGAACTGAAATGGTGTTCATGACGAGAGGTGGCTTTGAAAAAGTTCACAATATTTAAAAAA